CCTTCCTACTTAATTTTTTAAATAAATGTTTCAAGTTTGAGAGAGAAAGAAATAAAACACTGGTGGTTTTACCTTCACACACTTCCTGGAATGCAAGACATCACTAAGGCGGTGTTTTCCCCACTGAAGAAGTTATCACAATCATAATGTACCACAAGTCATCAATTCTTACCAGGAAATTAATAAGTGCCTGATCAGATCACAGTGGATCATTTAGCCTGAATCTAGCCCATAGAAAAAGTAAGACAGAGAGCAAAACACAAAGACTCCCTTTTAGTCTGCATCAGAGAAAGAAAAAGAAAATAATACCAAAAAAACCTTCTTTTATGATCAGTAAACACCCACAGGTCTTTGCTGACCTCTCTCAGCTTCCTGACTTTGTTTCTGCCTGACCTGAAGGAAAAGGGAAAAACAGCATTTCCTTCCACTCATCCTCAGTGACGAGCTGTCCCACCTGCTTTCCCACAAAGGCTCTCTTAATTCATTCCAGTTAACCCCTTCATCAGTGCCACAATCAATCAGAAATATCTGCAATTCCTTAATTCCTCATTACAAAGGAACCTCCACTTGAAAGCCAGTGCTCTGGGTGAGGTCACCAGAACAACCAGGACAAGTCAAGGCGGAGCTCCCCAGGGAAGCACACCTAAAAAAAATAAGCCAAGGAAGGTTTTTCAGGAACACCTGGACTGCAAACAATCCCAAAGCTCTTCTGGCAGCCTCAAGAATTGGAGGCCTGGCCTGCCATGCCCCTACAAACCAGTGCATTCCCAAACGGGAAGGGTCAAAGGGAGCCCCCTGTGCTCAGATCCATCAAACCTCCCCCACTGCAGATGTTCCTTGGGACGCTCTGCACCCCACAAACTGCTTTAATGGGGCAGAACAGAGAGCCTGAATCTGAGTCCAAAACCTGTCACTTAAAAACGTCTTAACAAACGTCCATGCTTCCCTCTCCCCAATAAAGAGCAAACCTGAAGAACCTAAAAATGCCAAAAACTGGAACTGCGCTTGGTCTGTTCCCCAGCGCAGAGGTGTGAGATGCAGGCTGGTGCCACGGCAGGAGAGCACAGGGGGCTTTATTGCACATCCCTACAAACAGCACGGGACACTGCCCTGCATCCCACAGCCCTACAGGGAGCACGGGACACTGCCCTGCATCCCACAGCCCTACAGGGAGCACGGGACACCTCCCTGCATCCCACATCCCTACAAACAGCACGGGACACTGCCCTGCATCCCACATCCCTACAAACAGCACGGGACACTGCCCTGCATCCCACAGCCCTACAGCCAGCACGGGACACCTCCCTGCATCCCACAGCCCTACAGCCAGCACGGGACACCTCCCTGNTAAGCAAGCGATAATAAAGCAAACAGCGCTGGGTGGCCTGGGGGGCCAGTGCCCCGCCAGAGACACACAAAACTTGTTTGAAAACTGGGCTTTTGTACTCTTTCGATATCAGTTGTTGAATATTCATTCATTGTCCGTTTGTTGCCTTAAAAGGTAATTCCCCTGCTTTGGAGGTGGGTGTTACCTTTTTGTAACTTATCTCCCCTGGGCTCGTACAGGGGGGGTCTTGCATCATCCTCACGCTGAGGGCCTTTCTCTGTATTCACATGGCACAGAGAAATGTATTTTTATTTATAATTTGTTCCCTGTTCCCGGCCGCAAAAGATTCCCTGGTGTTAGGTCCAGACAGGACCTTTCACCTTACAGACTCCACGGTATGCCTAGAAGTTAGTAAATATACAGAAATAGTTTTTTGTTAGTACCCCTTTTTTATTTTAATTTACTTGGAATAAAACCCGGTGCTGTCACTTATCACACACTTGAAAGCCAGTGCTCTGGGTGAGGTCACCAGAACAACCAGGACAAGTCAAGGCAGAGCTCCCCAGGGAAGCACACCTAAAAAACATAAGCCAAGAAGGTTTTTCAGGAAGTCAGCAAGACCTGAGCTGCAAACAATCCCAAAGCTCTTCTGGCAGCCTCAAGAATTGGAGGCCTGGCCTGCCATGCCCCTACAAACCAGTGCATTCCCAAATGGGAAGGGTCAAAGGGAGCCCCCTGTGCTCAGATCCATCAAACCTCCCCCACTGCAGATGTTCCTTGGGACACTCTGCACCCCACAAACTGCTGTAATGGGGCAGAACAGAGAGCCTGAATCTGAGCCCAAAACCTGTCACTTAAAAATGTCTTAACAATCGTCCATGCTTCCCTCTCCCCAATAAAGAGCAAACCTGAAGAACCTAAAAATGCCAAAAACTGGAACTGCGCTTGGTCTGTTCCCCAGCACAGAGGTGTGAGATGCAGGCTGGTGCCACGGCAGGAGAGCACAGGGGGCTTTATTGCACATCCCTACAAACAGCACGGGACACTGCCCTGCATCCCACAGCCCTACAGTCAGCACGGGACACCTCCCTGCATCCCACAGCCCTACAGCCAGCACGGGACACTGCCCTGCATCCCACAGCCCTACAGCCAGCACGGGACACCTCCCTGCATCCCACAGCCCTAAAGAGAGCATGGGACACCTCCCTGCATCCCACAGCCCTACAGGGAGCACGGGACACTGCCCTGCATCCCACAGCCCTACAACCAGCACGGGACACTGCCCCCTGTCCGGCGTTCCTGCCGCTGGGACACTTTTCTTTATTCCCCGTCCCTGCTGCCCGTCCCAGGACACTTCCCTTCCTCTCGTGTCCCTGCTCTCCCCACCGCCACCGTTTCTGTATCCCGTGTCCC